AATAATAATAATAATAACAATAATAATAAACTGATTAGTATTAATAACAAATGAATAAATAAATAATAATAATAATAATTAATAATAATAATAATATAATAATAATAAACTAATAATTTATAATACATATACACATAAACTTATATACAATACGGCAGTGTAAACAATACACAACATATATTCTTGTCATTTTTAGAAAAATTACCTTTATAAATAAAAATAATTCCGATCTCATTGGGGGCGTGATCGATCGGGGATCGCGTTCGTAGAAAGAAGTAAGAAAGACGGACAGGATGGTTTGTTAGAGGTGGATCAGAACAGTGTAAAGACTGTAATTATCAGAAAGACCTCGTTTTGAATCCTCAATCATACTTTGTACTTCGAATCGATAGGTAGGTCTCGTGTACACAGGCACCACCACCGATTTTCTTCGCCGAGGATACTCAAGATTTACTTATTTGTTTTTCATTAACACTTTTGGAAGGCACCGTTTACTTACTTGTCTTTTTATATTCTTCTTCTTTTTTATTTTTCTTTGCAAATAGGTGGTTCCATTTTAAAATTAAATTTTGATAAGCACGCGATATATAATACATGCATATATATATATATATATATATATTATATATCGAGTTCCAAGAGCGTAGTTTAATCCGCGTTTGCCGATCCAGAGCTTCAATAATTACATACCGTGAACGGAATAGCGAATCAATGCGAGCGTGAGAGACACACAGGGCTCGGTAATAAGGGTCCTTCGATATATGTAATACTAACACACTAGCAAACAGCTAACACCGGAGTAAAGATGTAATCGGGAAGCGTGTACGGGCGTATCGCGCACGTGCCTAACTATCTTTACACTGATGATGCATTACGCGCAGCCGGTGCTCGGCACATTCAACGAACGCTTTCATTTCTCACGGATGTTACTCGCTTCTCTGGCTGCATAGCACACACGCATACACACATACATACACATAGACACTTACACTCACTCGCAAACACGCATTATCAATGTCTCTACGTATGTATTACGCATATATAGTATTTATATCAAGTAAATGCATAACAACTCGTATTATTACGTATGCGAGGCTCCTTTGATTCGTCACTTACAATCAAATACATATACGAAGTCGATAGATACGATATGATATTGTAAGATAAAGATCAAACGAATTAGGAATACGATCGGAAAGATTTTCAACATAATTTAAACGTTTTTGATGAGGACAAAACTATGAGGAAAAAGAGTCATTGAAGGAGAACGATGATCGAACGCGCATCGGTGAACGAATTCGCGAGTTTCGTTCAATTTTATTCTATTCCTTTGTTATTTTGTTTTTAATATATTAATCGATCAAATATTTATTTGCAAAGAATAGATATTTATTATTTAGGAAAAGTTGCTTTCGTAGGTATCGGTACGAGCTTTATTAAAATGGCGATTATTAACTTACGATGAAAATAAAAAGCAGCCATTTGTTAGCGCATAGAAAGTAGGCAGGCAACTCGAAAGAGATAAAAGAATTTTTAAATGATGTGCATCTTTGCTGACACACGCGCGACTTCGCCTATATATTATACGGAATACGAGAACGATTAGGGAATATATATTAAATGGAGAGTGATCCATAAGTATATAAGCACCTATCTCGCGGGGAACACAGAAGAGTCACGTATACCAAATAATAATAATAATAATAATAATAATAATAGTAATAATAATAATAAATAATAATAATAATAATAATAATAATAATAAATAATAATAATAATAATAATAATAATAATAAACAAACAAGAAATGAAATGCTTCTACGCAAGCACCAATTGATAATATCACTACGATCTAAGCTTTTTAAAGAACTCTAACAAGTACTAAACAAAATAGCATATATCAATGAAACACACACATACACATTAAACTTACACGTATGTATGTTATACATAATAATAAGATACATGCATAAAAATGCCACAGACCCATACACGAACACACGAATAAGAACACGTACACACATACATATAAATTATATATAAATATAAATACATATATATATATATACATATAAATATATAAATACGAAGGTCAAACGACGATTGTAAACAAACCACAGAAAAAAAAAAAAAAAACAAATATAAACTATTTTATCCAACAAAGTTTTTGCTACAACCGACGTAGTGTGCATCTTGCTAAATGTCATAATCGAGACTTATTAAAAAAAAAACATAAAAAAAAAGTGTGAGATGGAAGAAAAAAAGAAAGAAAGATGGAAGGAAGGAAGGAAGGAAGGAAGGAAGGAAGGAAGGAAAGAAAGATAGAAAGGGAAAGAAAGAAAGAAAAAAAAAAAAAAATAAAATAAAATAAAAGAATAATAATGAACATAATAGCTGGGAAATTTACGCGAAATGGGGGGATGATGATCAGCTTTGAATTTATTTTTACATGACGTGATGTAATAAACCGAATAGACGAATTCGCTGCTCGCTAATCCGATAATGTTCCGAATTTCTGGCGTTGAATGCGAATTGTCATTCGCGCGCAAAACATAATAAAGAAGTAATTCAATGCGTCGTTATCATACGGCGTGCCCGCGTATAGAATTTACGAATCGATCGAAAAGAAAATAAGAAAAAAGAAAGGAAGGGAAGGGAAGGGAAGAAAAAAAAAGAAACGACGAATTTTGCGAAATAAAAAAGCGCTTCGTACTCTCGATACGCATATCGGCATGGCGTCGTACCGAAAATCGTCCATCGACTTCGTCCTGTGCATGAACAAAAATTAACAAAAAAAAGAAAGGAATGAAATAAAAATGAAATTAGGAGAAAAAAGGATAAAAAGCTCGAGGAAGTTTGTATCAGCGCGTCGACGGAAGCTCGCGCCAACCCATTTCCACCCTTCCGCCCCTCTCTAACTATTTTTCCAAACCTTTATTTTATTTGCATCTGTGCGCTGCGCTGCGTACGCATAATTGTTTTTTTTTGTATCATCAAAATAGAAAAAAGAAAAAGCACAAGAAAAGCGCGCGTTTGCGAGCGGCTTCACTCGACGCGCCTAGGATTTTAATCTCGAATCAGAAGTTTTGTCTAATTGTAAAACAAGAAGAAGAAGAAGAATAAGAAGGAAGAGGAAGAAGAGGAAGCGGTAGTACATTGCGCATTGCGCACGCATTTGCTCGGAAGAAAAAAAACTCGATAGTGTATGATGGACGACGCGCTGTAAAAGACGATTTCGAAGTTAAATAAGAAAATTAAACCAGAATTCGTGCTGATGACAGAATAGTAAAAAAAGTGAGAGAGAGAGAGAGAAAGGAGAATAGAGGAAAGAAAAAGAGAACAATATAATAGTATTTAATATATAAATATATGCATACTATATACTTATATATATCACCCACTGCTCTCGAAAGATCAATTTGACATCAATCATCGATCTAGCGCAAGTTGCATTTGCTAGCGCAAGCCAAAGGTATGTGAAGGAAAGAAAAAATAAATGAAAAAGATTATAAAAAAAAGAAAAAAGAAAAAAGTAAATAAAATAATATGAA